CCCGACTTAGTATCGAGGGGAACTTGGGTCAAACAGTAGTGACAGGATACCTCTCTTTTAATCTATCTACCTATCTACCTATCTATCTACCTATATTTTTCTACCTTAGCTATATCTATCTGCCTATATCTCTCTGTCTATATCTATCTACCTATCAATCGATCTAACTCGAGCGATCCGGTAATCACAATCTATCTATATCTATCTACTTATATCTTTCTACCTACAATGCCATCCAATTGCAGAAAGAAATGAATGAACTTGAGAGAGAGAGAAGGTTAGAAGAAAGAAGAAGAAGATGATATACACCAGCATAGACAAATGATAAAGCTCTTCTTCTTCGCCAAACTCTCTCTTCCTCCTTATCTCCTCCTCTCTTGTTCACACAAGAAATAATAATACAATGTTGAATGGCTGAACCAGAATCAATGTCCGAGTTCCTCTTCTACTGCAGGTATCACTTGAGGTCCACCATAGCCATGGCCCCGGGGCCCGCCTCTCCCACTCTTCACTCTCATAGGCCAAGGCCATGGCAGACTACTAGGCCTTGCCCAGATGTCCAAAGGACAACCCAAAGCAGCTATGGCTGCTCTAGCTCAGGCTGCCATGCCTGACTCCGCCTCGAAGCTTCTTGGTGTAGCTCAACCCCAGCTGGGGCCTTCCTGCTGCAGCGCCCACCAAGGTGATGAAGATGGCTGCCACCATAGCCCGGTAAGTACCTCTGGCGCTTCTCCCTAGCCCTGGCCTTCTTCCTCCTCCGTGTCCTTGCTCTTTCCCCAGCAGCGCTGCTCCAGCCAGCACTCCAACCAGTGTGTCGCCAAACTTGCACACCGGCAATGAGGCTGGGCTCTTCGCCCGGCCTGGAGGTATAGCAGCCTGCTTGCCTCTTGGGCGGTGGCTTCGAGGCCGCTCGGCCTTCCAACAAACCGGTACCTCCTCCCTTCCGGAGGGAAACATCATTGCAGACTCTGATATTGCCCGCACAGGCCCTCGGCTCAGACTGGTTGGACTGGTACCCACCTAGTAGACCTAGCCTACAACTACTGGGCCTCTAAAAATGCCACTTTTGTCTTCTTCTGCTCGGCCGCGAGTACCCGGCACATCTACCTCTTCAGGGTGTGGTACTGGCCTACCTGCTACTTGAGTGTTTCCCCGCTGCTTCAAGTGATGCAGGCCTCTTCCCCCGGCACTTGAGTGTTTTCCCCGCTGCAATCCTCAACGTCACGGCCACGGCCCACAGGTAAGTACCGGCCCTGAGGGCCCAACAAAAGAACAAATGCCCTTGCGGGTCACACACACACTCCAGCCATCAAGCACTCAGACAGACATGCAGACCAGCAAGCGTGCACACACACAGACTTAGAGAACTTAGTAGCAAGGGGGAAACTCAGCAAGGCATTCAGTCCATGGGCAAAACCCAGAAATCAGCTGTGTCTCTCAGTCCGTGTTTGGTCAGGTCATCCCATCTATAGATATCAATCGATCTAACTCAAGCGATCCAGCAATCACAACCTATCTAGATCTTCTACCTATATCTATCTCCCTCTATCTATAGTTAGCAATCGATCTAACTCAAGCGATCCAGCAATCACAATCTATCCATATCTATCTACCTTTGTCTATCTAGCTATATTGTGTCACACTGTGAATCGGAGCGCAAAGGCGGAAAAAGGCAAAACAAGGAAAGGAAAAGGAGGAGGAAGGAAAGCCCCACCTGTTCATCACCTCTTACGTACAAGGCCAGCCACGACAGGTTGAGCGCTGGCTTCCCCCATCCCCGTGTGTCACAAGGACCCACTTGTACGCAACCAAAAGGCAAAGAGGTAAAGAAAAGGAGGAAACCTCCTGACAGGGAACCAAAGCAAATGACACATCCCACATATAATCCAATTGTCACAAAGCAAATAACACATCCCACAGATCAACATATTTTTTCTTTTTCCTTATTTTCTTATTTTCTTATTTTCTATTTTTTTCTTTTTTTCTTGAACTATTCCCACCTCGGCAGATAGGACAGCTACGGTGAGGATGATGTGGATGTCCACAAGGATACCCAAGGAGAGTTGCGCCAGCACAGCATTCAGCAGGATGGCTAGCACGAACCATCCCATCAAAACAGTTCTGACAGAGGACATGTTGTCCACATGTCAAAAGAACAGCAGGACGTTCATCACAGTGCGGCATCATGCAGTTCTGATAGCTAGCTATATATATATATATATATATCGTCATATATATACATATATATCGTCACAAACAGAACTGCCCGGTAAAACCGTAGGCAGAGAGAGAGAAGAGGACAACAAACGAGGGGCTGTGACAAACTGTTTCGTCGGAGTTTCACCGACTCATCAGGAGGCTGAACCCTCAACAGTCTGCAGAATCCCCTCACTGATTACACTGTAAATGATAATCTACCTTAACCAAAATCAAAGTAGACTATCACTCACCCACACCAGATAGAAAACTCTACAGACTGTCGGTTCACACCCCATCACAAGCCAGCAAAACATCCACGAAACAAAGAAAGGTCTGTCACAGCCAAAAAATACACTCCAGACACGCCGCTGGCACTAGAGGCACAGCATGTACATATATATATATATATTTTACCGGGCAGTTCTGTTTGTGACGATATATACATATATATATATATATACATATATATATATATATTCACATACCTATCTATAGATATCAATCGATCTAACTCCAGTGTTCCAGCAATCAATCAGTAACCATTCTGCCTCATCTTGGGACTCTCCTTTTTCTTCCTCCTCTGAACGGTGTTTCTTCCTCCTTTTTCTCGTGAACCTTATTTCTTCTTGCTGCAGTTTGAGAGGTTGTAAGATGGACGCAATACTGCCTCATCTAGGGAGACGAAGAATTATACATGCCTTTTCCATTCGTTATGAGAGGTGTGTGTTGTTGACATGTATAATTCTTTGTCTCCCGCGTTCACTATCTGATATCCCGCCCAATTTCCTAAATAACACCGTCCTATCAGGCACCCTTACCCTTACAAGCCCAGGTAGGAGACATTCGACTGTCCGACGTGTGATTACCACATTCATTGATTGATTGATTGATTGATTGATTCATTAACTGATTGGCCGCTAATTGATCGCCCTACCCAAAAAAGGAAAAAAGAGAGTGGCCTGATGATCGCTATAGGCGCGATGGATTTCCGTTCTTTGCAGAGTGGTACTGATTCCTCAGTCATGAGAGCGATCTTTTTTTTTTTTTCCAATCAATATTTGTTTATTGACAAAAATAGCGTTCTCATGAGAGCGCTATTGATGTGCCGGCAACCGCAGTCTAAGAAAAAAGGACAAAAGAGGGGGGAAAAAGAGCAAAAAAGAGCAAAAAAGAGGAAAAAAGAGCAAAAAAGACCGAAAAAGACCGAAAAAGACCGAAAAAAGACCCAAAAAAAAGACCAAAAAAAAGACCAAAAAAAAAGACGAGAAAAAGACAGAAAAAAAAAACAAAGGAAGAAGACTGAGAACAGGTTATGGTGGTGGAACTGAATGGCCATGGAAGGAGAGCAACCCCGGCGCCGTTAATCGGCAATATCGAGGGACAAATCCACTGTCCTCCTCTCGGATTCTCCGACTTATAAATTGGGGGAAAAAAAGAAAAACATAGAATAGAATAGAATATAAAAGAGAACCGAATAGAATAGAATAGAATAGAATAGAATAGAATATAAAAGAGAACCGAATAGAATAGAATACACAATGGAATAGAACAGAAAGGAACAGAATGGAATAGAATAGATAGAATAGAATAGAATAGACACTGAGATAAGACGAGCGCTAAACGGTGTTTTCTCTGGTTGGAGCGTGTTTATTCTTGAGCAGGAGGAGGAAAGGGGAGGCGGGGGCAAGGAGGGAAACCACGTGAAATTCAGAAAAAAAATGTCTAGAACCACGTGAAAACAAAGCCGCTCCAACGGGCCTACCTTCTTCCCCCGAATACAACGTACGTACGGTATTTGAGCCATCTTTCAGTCTAGATACAGCTATAATGACCGTACGTTGTATTCGGGGGAAGAAGGGAGCTCAGCTGGTACAGCAATGACCTGTTGAAGTACAGACGTGAGTTCGAATCCAGATGCATTCAAATCACCAGGGCCATGGTCCCACTAGCGAAGGGGATAGAATACAAATCCTGAATCTGGCTATGTTCTATGCAGAGATGAAGAAAAGCAGTTCTATCTTGCTTTCCTGCTCCTGTCCTCAAACACGTCCAGATTCAGGCATTCTATCCGATGCTCTTTGCTAATGGGACCACGGCCCAGGATATAGTCATTCTGAAGTACCTGGGGCCGGTCAGTTTAATGATGATATGATATCCAAAGGCCGTCGTCCTTTCCAAGAGAGGGGGGGGGGGGGGGGGGGGGGGGGGGGAACAAAGGCTCCAAAAAGCCATCGCGATGCTGAGAACGGCAGAAGGAAGACCGAGTGGCACTGTGGCACTGAAAGTACAATTGATAAGAGAACCCGAGCGGGGGATGAGAGTGCGAGGATGAGGAGACGGGGGGATGAGAGTGAGGGGAGGAGGAGAGGGGAGTGAGAGTGAGAGGGTGAGGAGAGGGAGGGAAGAACACAGGACACGGGAGAGAGGATGATGGACAGGAGAGGACAAGCTCTCCCAGGGCCTATCACGCTCGACCTCACCCCCTCCTCCTCCGCCCCCTACGACCCCCCTCCTTCCCCGCGTTCTCCTCCCGCGAGGAGGGTCGAGTATTTGTGTGGTATCTGTTCTGATCAGTTTAATTAATACTAAATTAGGAGCACGGGGGTCGGACGGTGTGAGAGGGTGCGGTCGCGGGTGGTGCGTTAGCTGGTGCGGCAGCACTCGGCTTTCGTTACCGTCCTGCATGGAAGCAGGCCTGACTGGCGGTTAGGAGTCCAACGTGGTCTCACGGTCATAGGTGGTAATTCACTATCCTCGCTCTGACGAGGATCTGTGGCAATTCGCCATAGCCGAGGTTACCAGCGGTTAGATTATCCCGATCGCACCTTCTGCTGCCAGTATTTCAATTGTAGTTGTTAGTGGTAAGTTGTTATTTACTGAAGATACCATAGCCTTTCGAAGTAGAAGGCGTTCGGAATCAGTGTGGGGAATGCTCCCGGGGAAGTATGGAGGTCGAACCATCCAGACAAGGGGAGAGAGATGGAAGGGCGCAAGTCCCTGGGGACTACCGATTGGAGGAAGATAGGGTGAGGGAAATGATTAGGGCGTGCTTCGAGGAAGGAATACTTCCTACGAACATCGACCCTGGGGAGATGGAAGTTAGTGGGAGGGAGGTAAAGTTTACGCTCAACTCCTCCCTTGATGAAATCAAGATAAAGTGGCTCAAGGAAAGAATGGTCACGGTAATCTTTCGTGATGGTGCTAGATTTCTGCCAAAGAAAGTGAAGGAGGATGTTATTAGAGCGTATGAGGACGTTTGGATCAGGGACGAGGTGTTTGGGGAGGAGTTCAAACGAGGAAGGATTAAAATAGAAAGTCCCAACGTCGTTTCATACATTCCAAGAGCGCAGGACATTACGGACTGGATGCTGCAGAAGAAGTCAGACTTCATCGACTTAGCAGGGACAACGTACCGCACCGAATTCAAGCCCTGGCTGACCAGTGCGGAGATTCGAGATTGGAGGCAGCTGCTTGACCAGAATGCATTTTGGGTTGTGGCGGTAGGCATCCCACTGGATGAGATGCGGTTTATTCACGTCCACGTGGAGAAAGCGATTGGCAAGGTTCTCAAGCAACACAAACCGGAGTCGGATGACACCGACCCTAAACTAGTTAACCTGCGTTTCGACATCAACCCTGCATGCAAGGACAACATGAAGGACAAGTTTTCTATCCAAACTTGTCAAGGTGATGTCCTGGAAGTGAGGCTAGCTGGCCCGGACTCTGATTGGTGCAAACGTTGCCGCTCCTTTTTCCACACCGAGTCGACGTGTCGTCGTCCGGGTCGAAGAGGGCAAGGGGCCACCAACCTTAACCAGCCTCAAGTCTCAACGTCTGATTCTCGTCAACCAAGACCAAGTTATAATGGCGATCTACGTGCTCCGGGTGCTGCTACCCAGCAAGCCGGTCAGCCTTCAGGAGATCCTTTAAACGTTCCAGTTTCTTCGGCCGTCAGGACTAACCCAATGTTTTCTCCAGCCGGTGTACAGGGACAGCACATGGCGGAGGCTCGGCAGTTTCAAGGCTTGACGCAGGGTAACGTATCGGCCTTGGATACTTCTTGGGCCGATTACTTCAGAAGTCTACCGCCGCATCCGTACATGGTGCCTCAAGCTGGAGCCGGGACGGGTAGTTACCAGGTGGGGTTGAGCCCATCTATGGCTAACCTGCATGCATTTACACCGTGGTCATCAGCGGGAATGCCCCAGGGCGGCCTACATGGCAACAGAGATGGTATGTTGATGCAGGTCCCGAGCAACGTGTCCTTTGGGGCAGCTCCTTCAGGTTCGGGAGGCGGCCGCTTACGGGGCGAATTGCCTGGGAAAGAAAGAAGGATTAGTGATGGAGGAGTGGAGATTCAAGTTGACCTCCAAGCCGAAGGATCCGATAGTTCTACCGGATCACAAGCCACGCCCTCGGCAGTAGGTAAGCGAAAATCGAACCGGTAGCGCATGGCTGCACTCTCGAAAGGGCAATCTGATGTGGAATCAAGATTATTGCCGATAGTCTGTACTTCGGTTAGGAATGCATGGTGGTTCGTTGCGTGGATAGGCTTTGATGGTACACCGTTGCTGTTCAATTCTGTTTGTCCGGAATCCCCCATGCCACATGCAACGGTTTCTCTGTCCAAATCATTATTCCGGGATAAGTTTGATATGAGGATTGTAGAAGTTATGATGCCTCGACTCTTGGTTGATATTGAAGGGAAAAGATGTCGTTGCTATCTTCCCATTTTCGATGGTCGTTTTCGTCCAGGTCAACTGGAACAGTTGGAGGCGGATGGTCTCCGACTGTTCCCGCTGTCCTGGTTGTATGAAGGGAGGAAACCTGAACTGCGTCGCATAAGGGTCTCCCCGTCGGTGTCGGCAGAATTCCTGTCCGATATCAACATGAAGTTGGGAAGAGACAAGAAACTGGACTCACCTTTCATGAAACGTGTCCTGACAGAAGAGTGGGCACCGTTGGTTCCGCTAGACGCCTCCGAGATCCAAGCTACTGGAACAGTCGCCCCGGATGGGCAGGCTTAAACTAGCCACGTGGAATGTCAGGGGGCTAGGGGATACGTCAGGCAGGAATAAGAAAGGCAGGCTGAAGAGTTGGATGCACGAGCGTAGAATCGATATTCTTTGTATTCAAGAAAGCAAGCTCTCAGAAGAGAAAATTGTGGAATTGGGCTCTTGGTGGGACGGCCCTCAAATTTGGTCGCCGGCCAGGGGTTCAAAAGGGGGAGTTGCTATCTTAATTCATAGAAATTTGCAGGCTGAGATTATTGATTTCTGCGCTGACTTATGGGGTAAGTGGGCGTGGGTTAAACTCTGGATTGAGGATCAGGAATGGATTGTTGTCTCTATTTATGCTCCGACAGATCAGACGGAACGTGCTGTGTTTTTCGAAGATCTACCGTTGTTTGTCCCGGTTGGGGATCATCTCGTTATCGCAGGCGACTGAAACACTTCTCTGGATAAACAGGAGGGTGTTCGGGGTGGGCGTGATGTGATTGCATTGACGGACTTGATGTCTGATTTGGATTTGATTGAACCGTATCCCATTTTTCACCCTGGAAAGCCAGGCTATACTTGGTTCTCTAATGCCAGGGAAGGGATAGGCACCATCAGTAGAAGATTGGACTTCTTTCTTCTTTCGCCCTCGGTCTGGCACTCCATGATTCATATTGATGAGGTTCAGAACCCCATTTCCGACCATAAACCTATAATTGCCACCCTCAATGCACACAAACTGGAGAGAGGCCCTGGCTATTTTAGGTTGAACACACAGATCTTGCACGACGCTGGAGTGAAGGATTGGATGTTACGTTTCTGGAAGGATTGGGAAGCGAACTCGGACTCCTTCCCTTCAAAAGCTGCTTGGTGGGATGCGGGGGTTCATATATTTTCCAATCATCTGAACATCTTTTCCCGAATCTTAGCTGCTAAACGCAAGGAAAAGGAGCAGGGCTTGATTCGGAGAATAGAGTATGCAGAGGTGCGGATGCATAGCCACCCAATTTCAAACCTGGTATGGGGACCCATTAGAAGAAAACTTCTTGCCGAATGGGATGCTTATCACTCGGAGCAATCTGAGATATGGGCTGAATGGTTGAAAGTCAAAGGTGTCATGGTATATGACCGTATGACTCGTGAAACCTTCCAGAAACGTCCGCCCAAACGTCTGTCGCACTCCATCTGTGAATTACAGCATCCCTTTGACCATGACCTCCCATCTGCTCGGGATCAGTCTCAACTGTGTATTTATGCTGCCACGTACTACCAGGATATTCTTACTACTAGGAGACCTGAGGAGGACATCACAGAGGACCTCTAGACATGGATAGCCCTATTACGGTAGAGGAAGCAGAGGAAGCATTGAGATCTATGGCTAAAGGAAAGGCCCCCGAGGATGATGGCCTGCCGGTTGAGTTATACCTTGTGATTTGGGACTCTGTTAAGAATCAGTTGACGGAGATTTATAATCAGGTTCTGGTGGGGGGTAACCTTTCTAGGAGTATGAGGAATGGTGTTATCTCCTTGCTCTACAAGAAAGGCGATAGGTCAGAGATCAGGAATTGGCGGCCGATATCTGTCCTTAATGTCTCCTATAAGCTTCTGGCTAAGATCTTGGCAAGGCGGCTAGGCAAGTATGTCCCCTCTTTGGTTGCCATAGACCAAGCGGCTTTCGTACAGCGACGTTCGATTTTTGACAATATTGTCACAGTCGTTGAGGCCCTGGAGGTGGTGGAGAGGTCACAGTCAAATATTGCAATTTTAATGCTTGATCTTGAAAAAGCCTATGATCGGGTAAATTGGACGTATGTGCTAACAACTCTGAGGCATGTGGGGTTTGGGGAGAATTTGTGTAACTGGGTGGTAGCGTTGTATTCCCAGTCGACAGCGTCGGTGATGGTAAATGGGAGTCTCTCGGTCCCCTTTTCTCTGACTCGTTCCCTCCGTCAAGGTTGCCCTTTGGCACCTCTTCTCTTTGTGATTCAGATTAAGAACCTTCTATGCAATATCAGATCCAATCCTTCTATCTCGGGCCTCAGTGCTGGCCCTTTGCAGTGCAAGGTGAAAGCCCTTGCGGATGATTTATTTGCTATTTCGGGCAACACTGTGAGTTCGATGGATGCCCTGAAAGCCTGTTTAGATGAATACTCTGTCCTATCAGAAGCTTCTGTAAACTGGTCCAAATCAGTGTTCTTCCTTCCCAGTTCCCACGCTCCGGTGGTGAACTGGGGGATGAAACGAATCCTAGCGGAAGATTCAGAGCGCTTCCTTGGTGTACAAGTCTCTCTTCTCTCCTGTAGCATCGACCAGGAGGGTATCCTCCTCCAGCGTTCTCTACAGCGGGTAGCAATGTGGGGGAAGGCTGTTCATCTGTCCCTCTATGGAAGAGTCCTGGTTGTCAATCGCGCGCTGTTTTCCCTTCTTTGGTTTGTGGCAGCAGTTAGGCCGTTGGGCAAGCATCTATGCTCTTTAATTCGAAGGAGGGCCGCCCGCTTTATTTGGAAACCATTTTCTTCTGATGATGAGGGTTTTCTGTCGAAAGTGGCATGGGATCTGTTGTGTTTTCCAAAAGCGGAAGGAGGCCTGGTTTAATTGATCCCAGAAGGAAGAGCATTGCTCTGCTTGTCAGGTGGGTAATCAGGGCCATGTGTTCACCAAAGGATACTCACTGGGTAGCCCTGGCTGAGGTCATCCTAGCTGATGAATGGAACCTCGTACGTCCTTCGGATGTTTGGACCTGCTTTCTCCTCCCATCCTACCAAAACCGGCGCATTAAGTCAGAATTTTGGAAGGCTGTTATGTTCGCATGGAAGCAGCTCAAGCCCAACTCGTGGTTGAACCCTTCCACAAAGTCTGAGGTAATGCTTCAACCTCTGTTTGAGAACCCTGCAATCAGAAAGGCAGATGGAAACTGGTTCTCTGCTGACTCTGCACGGAACAGCTTTGGTAAAAGTTGGATAGAACGTGGTGTACTCAGGATTGGAGATATCTGGAACATTTTGGAAGGACAATGGTACTCAGCAGGGGCCTTGAGAGAAGTACTAGGTCCGATCTGGTACGTGGAGGAAAGGCTTGTGGAATTAATTGATGCTATTCCAGGCCAGTGGAAAGAGCTCCTGGGCCCAGGAGGGGTAGACCCCCCTGGGACTTGGTATATTTCCTCCACGATGACTCGCTCCACCACCTTTTGGAAACTGTGCTGCATTGATTCGACAGGAAAAAGGGAATTTCAAGGTTGGGAAAGCATTAACCCCCAAAGGCCGTGTAAGTTGGTCCAACTGGAAGAGGCAACACATCCTCCTTTGGATGCAGGCTTGACCCAGGTCAGAGTTTTCGGAATCCTGTGATGAAGAAGGTGAGTGGTCTTGTGAAGTATTTGCACAGGGTATTGCCCTATCAGAACTTAAATTGGACCCAAAACTGTACGGGTGAAAGGGTGAGGGCGGCGGGGGTAACGATCTCCCTCTTGTATCCTACACGGCTCAGCAGGGTTACAGGACACAGTTGCTCTCATTAGCGCGTACTCCCAAGGAAGTAGCGGTGGCTAGATGGAGCCAGATTTTGGACGGAGAGAATCATAAAATTGAGAAGGCAGTCTCTAAATGTTGGTATCAGCTAAGCCAGGCTCCCAGCCTCAGGCTGGCAGTTAATCTTTGGCTGCTTACCCTGCTGGCTACCCCGTTGGCAGTCTGTTTTAACACAGAGAGGTATGAATGTGGACTTGACCTGTAAAAGGTGTAACTGGGCATTTGAGTCTACCCCACACCTCTGGTTTGACTGTCCGGCTTCAAATCGAATATGGAAGTGGTGGAGTGCCTTTTGGGATGAGTGGTCCGGGAAAGTATTGCTGTGGGATCGGGAGTGGGTTTTGTTGGGTGGAGTTCCGGATAATCTGGAATTGGATAAAGGCTGGGGCTACGTGGCTCAAGCTGCCAGAGCGGTTGGCTGTGAGCTCATCTGGAAAGAAAGAAACTTGAGGGTATTTGAGGGGAGAGAAATGTCTAATAAGGAAATCAGAACAACGTTCAAATCTTCCCTCCGTCGCCTAATTCAGGCAGACTGGAAAAGGAAAGGAGCTGGTGGCTTGTCGCAGTGGTTTGGAGAAACTTGGGGAATTGGAGGTAAGTTGGTAAAATTGGAAGGTGGCAAATTGGTTTTTGCAGATTGGTTCTGGTCGTAGGAGTTCTCTAGCGTATATCCCTGGTTGCTTGGTTCAATTTCCGTAGGAGGAAGGCAGTCGGTTTTTGATGGTTGTAGGGAGCAATGGGGGGTTTGTCGGTCCTAGAGGTCCGACCTGCCGTTTTAGGCAGCTGCGTGTATTTTAGGTGTTGGGGTAGGTCGAGGGTATAGTTATAGATAGAATCCTAGGGCTAGTATTGGAGCTTTGTGATGCCTTCTTTTGGTTTGTTAGGTTTTTCAGGTCTGTGACGTTTGTTTTTGCTCCTCAGGCTAAGGTTTCAGGACAGCGGCCTAAGTTAGGCATTTTTCTGTTCCTAGATATTTCCTGGCCTTAATTAATGCTGGCAGGACTCTCCCAGGACTCTCCCACACTGGTTCCTTTTCTGACATGCTGTAAATCCAATCTGTATAAGGGACGCTGGGCCCGTTTCCCAGCAGGTGATGCTCCCCACCAATAGATGGAGCCTCTCCCCAGGTGCTAGTGGTGTCTACTCTTATCGGCACCACTAACACTGGTGGGGGTATGTTTAACAAAAAAAAAAANTCCACCGCAGAGCCCAATCAGCGTCCAACTTTGAGGACATGACTGTGCCAGACTGTATCGTCGGACTTTCACCGACCGATCAGGAGGTTGGGTGTAAGTGTGTCGTGTGTGTGTGCCGTGTGTGTGTGTGGGTGTCGACCGCAGAGCATAGCAGCAACTGTAGACCGTCGCCTAGAGTACAAAAATACAAAAATAGAGTGGCGAAGTCGGCCGTATTGCGCAGCTTGGCCAGATGCGCAGTGTCGTGACCGTCCTTTGTCCTCTAAGACTTTTGTTCTGTGTTCTTTTTGTGTTTTTATAAGACAATCAACTCATTTATTGCAAGGTAAAGGGTAAGGCCGTACGAGGATTAAAAAAAAAAAATCTCCACAAAAAAAAGAAAAAGAAAAAGACAGAAAGAAAGCAAGAACCCCCACCGGCGGCCCCACCCCATCCTTGATCACTACGGTTAAGAGGCGGGTGGGGAGGGGGAGAAATGCATCCCCTCTGATGGCTCGAGGGAGACAACAGAGCTATGTTTGCAGGGGTCCCCAGTCTAAGCCTTAGGAGTAGTGGTAGGTAGGTAGGTAGTGAAAAGGTGAATTGAAAGAATAATTTGAAAGATGATGAAAGATTTGAGAGAAGAATATAGCGTAGGTGCAGGCGTTGGGAATTTCGGCGGCGTGGTAAGAAGTACCCTTCCACAAACAACCCAGCTTAGGTGCATGCGTTGGGAATTAGGGCGTCGTCACACGGCAAAACGAGTGCATCTTCCCACAGAAAATAGACATGTTCATCAATTTGCTATAAATAGTAACGACTGATACGCAGCCAGGACGGCGGCGGACCGGTGACCAGCCCCCGAGAGCTTCGCTGCAGTTTTGTTGTCGACCTCTGAAAAACAAACATCCCAAACGCCACGATAACTGCCAGGTACATTCAATGAGGTGCTAGTGTGACTGTGCCCTCAGTGAGGGCGTGTAGGGGACAATCACACGAAAAAAAAAAAGAAAAAAAAAAGGGCCCTTATGCTGTGATTGAGGGCGGATACAGGACGCAGCCAACAACACACTGTCAGCCATTCCTGGCTGCGAACTGCCACTCCTAGTTCCACCACTCAGCCCGATCTACCCACAGAAAGACACACAATGGCAGCCAGGTGCAGCTGGCTGCCCTCACCCGAATCAAGAAAGCCTGAAACGCGCTGCGCACCTGTCCGCATTCACAGGTAAGATACACTCAATACAAAAGAAAGAAAGAAAAAACGACCATCTTTTGGGCCATGTGTCCGGGGCCTCACAACAATGAACGACCCTCATTCTGAATCGATGTGTGGATTACATCCGGGCCGTCGATCTCCCTATTTAACGCACGGTCAGATAACCCTTTCCCGACTTTCCTATACCGACAGACCCATCTCCAGCGACCACGCGTCCTCCGCCGCGACCGTCGCCATGTTACCTCACGGAACGACCGGTGTCGCACTTTTTTTTCCAGCCGGGCCACTTTGGGCGACCGAAAAGCCAACAGGCTGTCACACAAGATTTTGTTTGTGGTTGCACTAAAAAAAATAATAATAATAATGCAGATCCCTTCCTGTTCTGTGCGTCCGGCTTCGAGCGAGACCCTTCAATTGCGATCTTCGCCGGACCCCGGTCTTAGGAATCTTTGATTTTGATTCGGAACAGCAATGATAATGCAGATAATAAAAATTAAGTTAAATATGCCATGTGTGCATCAAGATGCCAATTTAGGAATTTGAGAACTGTGACGTAATCAGCAACGAAAATACAATCATCAAGCAATACCAGAAGAAAACATCAAGACTGACTGACTGAAGGTGAAAACAAGATAAATGAGGGAAGAGTGGGAACTCATAAAAATTTCAGAAAGTACATGTAAGCAAGCATGGCCAGCACCTCTCAAGAGCTCTCACTCATCTCTCAAGTCAGTTTCTCTCAATTTCTCATCTTGCTGTTCATCTCTGGTGTTGAGGACCACACCCGCATACAGTCTGAGATTGAGGCCTCGTGACAAAGAGCCATTTGAAGCCAGCCAGCTCCGAGCATGACCACCCGAGGTACATGACACGAAAGTTAATCATGGAGCAGAACTCCTCCCAAAATGTAGGCAGTCCGTCCACTGAAAAGATACCTCGTCTGAGATAGGGATACTCGGTGTGCTCAGTCAGTGCCTCAATGTCGATCACTGCTGGAGAGATATACCTATTTGCCAAGCCGATTATATCAAGCCAACTCGTTCCATCCGTGAGGAGAGAAGGAACAGGAGGTCTGGGATAGTCAGTGTAAAGCTTTGGTCCAAAGCTGCGGATCAGTGTAGCGCCGCTCTCATCGAACTCTCTCTTCCTCTACTCGAGATATTTCGTGGCTGAGATCCAGACTGGATCGAAATGCTCATGAGTCTCCTTGCCTTTCTTCAGATAGGGTCTCAGATCGTGGACAGTGCCATCGGCGAAACTGGTCTGGACAACGAAGATTGACAAACTGTGTGTCCATTCAAATCGCAACGGGATTTATTCAACTCCGTTGAACCCGTTGAACGGCCTTGAGGCCCAAGTTGAATCCCCGTTGAACGGTATAACGGGGGTTTCCTGTTGAGTTCCGTTCAACGGGCCGAGCCCAATGGGGCTCGGACACGTGGCGGGACACGTGTGAAACAAAAAAAAGTATAAAAAAAAAGTTGAAAAACTACCCTCTGTGTGTGTGTGTTCATGTCTGTGTGTGTGTGTGTGTGTTCATGTCTGTGTGTGTGTGTGTGCTGTCTCTTATACACATCTAGATGTGTATAAGAGACAGGTTCCCGAGCAATGCTCGTAAGCTAAACTGGCTGATGCTGCCAGGATAACTCCGGGTTGAATTGTGAGGTCCCCGGCCTCCGGTTAATTTGTTATAATTGAAGGGCTGAACCCAATTAAAAAAAAAAAAAAAGAGAATATCCTAGGCTACCAAAATGGCCCGGGATCCAACCGGGCAAAAAACGAATTAAAAAATAAAAAATATTTTTAAATGTTTATTTTTATTCTAAATTTGGTAAGGATTTTTTTTTTTTTTTTTTAAAGGGATTGTCTTTTAATAGGGCCCAGTGCGGGGGCGCGGCGGTTGGCGCTGGAATAGCGCTCTAAGTGCACGCTTCCGGCGTAGCGGCCGGTGCGATAGACCCTGGCGGTACCAACATGATACGGCGAGGGGAAAGGCATGGGTCCAGCTCGGCACTTTCCAAGCAACTGCCCGGCGCGGCGGCGGATATCCACACCTGCTATCGTCTACGAACTAGGTGAGCGAGGGTGACGATGATGACTATGATTGAAAGCTAAGAAGAATCTGAGGAATTATCAGGGTGAGCGCCAACAAAGGCGCATGCCCTTGAATGCGCACGGAGAGTGAAGAATGCAATGGTAGGTGGCAGATACTAGGGGCAAGCCGCAGTAGCAAGTGCGAGAAGGTAGAACCAAGAGAGCGAAGAATCGCAAGCAGGATGGCGACCAACCAACCTCAACAACAACAAGGAGCGAACTCAGGAAGGACCGGCAGATCCCCCCCCCGAGATCGGGATGTGGGACTAACGGAAGAAGCAAGAGTAAAGCTCCTCATCGCCAAGTGCTTTGAAGACGGAGTTTCTCCGGAGAATCTTAACCATGGAGAGTTCGTGGTTGAGAATGGAGTACGGATATTCAAAGTGGATGATAACGTAGGTAGACTGACGACTTCCTGGCTCAAGGATAGGGTGGTAACAGTCATCTTCCAGGGAGCAGCGAGAGACCTGCCGCTTAAAGTGAGAGAAAACCTTATCAGGGCGTACGAAAATGGTTGGACGCGACAACGTATTTTCGATCGAACTGTAAGAAGAGGGAGAACTCATGGGGAAGGGCCAAACATTATCTCCTACATCGCAATGACGAGGGAGATTGCACAATGGATGGTGGCGAAAGCAGAGGATAAGGTAGTGGTGGGAGGAGTAGAGTACCTCATGCTGTTTAAGCCTTGGATGACGAGGAAGGAGCTCGAGGAGAGAAGAAGAATAGACGATGAAACAAAGTTTTGGGTGATTGCATTGCGAGTTCCGATCCGGGCAGCCTTTCACCTCCACGATATGCTGGAAAAAGCGATGGGTAAAGTGATCAAGACTTACGATGCAGAACCTGACAAGACGCGCCCGAAGCTGATGAATAGGAAGTACGACTTAGTGAAGGAAGCCGAGTGCAACTTTGTACCAGAACTTCCTATGAAGCTCGAAGATGGAGAGATTCTGATGATAAAGTTCGTGTGTAAACACACGCCCTGGTGTGACCGTTGTCGCTGGTGGTTCCATACTGAAACAGATGGCTGTCCACGTATGGAAGAAGAAGACCTAGGAGGAGCAGTCGAGAGAAGGTTTGGGAACCTCAACATCAGAACACCAGATACCAGATCAGCTCCAGGACTCCAACGGGGAATACAGGAAGCAGCCAGGGACGTTCAACAAAGCACCATGCAGAGACGTCCTCAACCTGAACAGGGTGGGCGGTCGAGAGGAGAGTCTTCAAATCAGGGCCAGGCAGCACGAACGGGTGAACGCGGTGGTGGAGATTGGGGTAGGAGTGGATTGGGAGGAAATCCAGTGCATTCAAGCGGGATGCTGTATCCACAGCAGAGAGGAGCCTTTTCTCCATATGTAGGCGGGGGAAGCTTCGTGCCCTGGCAACAGCAACAGGCAGCTGGAATTTGGCAAAACGCTCAGGCGTGGCAGTCGGCCGGGGGAGTGATGCTTCAAGGTGGACAATCAAGCGGCATGTACCCATACCCGGGCTACCAGGGACCGAGACCGAGTGGACTGGGGGTGGGGTATATGCCCACAGCAGACGTGACTCAGCCTAGAAGGGAAGTGGAAAGGGTGGAGAGACCCGGAGTAGAATTCCGAGGGGAGGACAGAGTTTCTCACAAAGTAACCTTCCAAGAGGTTCAACCCCCGCCTCCGGGCATGGATATTGAGGAGGTGAATCCTCTCGAGAAGCGGAAAGAGAGGGAAGGAGCACAAAGCCGGGCCTCATCGGAAGCCTCTTCAACACATGGTGGAAGACCACGAGAGGTCATTCTCCGGGCAGAGGGAGATCAGGAAGGTGACTCGCGCGCAATTGTACCAGGCGGGTTACCAACGTTGGGCAGGGGAGAGAGGGAAAATGAGGATAATTTCCTGCTCCCCTTTGTGTGCGCGATCCGAGGGCAGGAACCTTACTTGATTGGTTTCAAAGCCTCAGACGGATCTATGATCCTGCCTGCGGCACCTATCCAAGGATTGCCTACACCGGAGATCATAGCCCAGCAAACGAGGAGGCTGTATAGCGATAGGTTTCAGTTCAGGATCTTTCCTGAGGAGATGATGGCAAAGCTAAGGCAAGAACTTCCCGGGGGAAGCCGAATTAGGTACTCGACACCGTTGATAGATGCAAGGATTCCCCCGGAGTGCTGGGACGGGCTGAATAATGTTGGGCTGGAGTGTGTTCGGCTCAGCTGCATTGTCAGCAACGAACAATCAACACTCTCGTTGATCAGCGTCGAACCTGGTGTCCAAGCTTCTTTCCTAGCGGAGCTGAACAGTCACCTACCAAGAAGCCGGAATTTGAACTCACAATATTTTGTGGATGCACTGAGGGGAAACTGGGAGGCAACCAGACTCGCACATACAGAAGGGGAAGATGGCAACCAGATGGCACTTGCACAGCCCCCTTCAGTCGGCTAAATGAGTAAGCGAAGGTTAGTGTCGTGGAATGTGCAGGGTCTAGGTGATACGGGCGGTAGATGCAAGGGAGCAAGGGTAAAGTCATGGATTCATGAGAACAAGGCAGACATAATCTTCATTCAGGAAACGAAGCTCTCTGAGCAGAAACTCCTAGAACTGAGAGACTGGTCGAATGGGCCGCAGCTGTGGTCGCCGGCGCGAGGAAGTAAAGGGGGCGTCGCAATTCTGGTCCATAATAGAGTGGAGGCACAACTGATAGATTATGATTCTGACCTGTGGGGGAGATGGTGCTGGATGAAAATCGGGGTAGGTGAAGAGGACTGGACATTAGCTTGCATCTACGCACCTAACAATCCACGGGAAAGAAGGAATTTTTACGAAACGCTCCCATCAGTCCTGCCGAACTCCGAGAAGTTAGTAATAGCGGGAGACTGGAACCAAGTATGCGCCCCAGGGATTGATTCTGATAGGGATGATGGCATGAAGAGGGATAGGTGTTTCTTAATCAGGTGGAAAGAGGCTTGGGGGCTTAGGGATATTTTCAGAGAAAGGAACCCAGGAAGAGAAGGGTACACCTGGTTTGGAAATCCCATTACTGCACCATCCACGAAAAGACGACTGGATTTCTTTCTGGTGTCAGAGGAAGCGAGCAAACTAACAGTCAAAGTGGCAGAACAGTCGGCCCAGGTAGCATCATAAACTAGTAGTATTAGATATATCAATGGGTCAGAAAGTGGAACGAGGCCCCGGACTGTTCAGACTAAATGCTGCTAATCTAGAGGACAAGGTGTGGAGACTTTGGGTAGAAGAGTTCTGGGATTCATGGCGTAAGGCCCAAGAATATTTTGCCGCAAAAGCCGAATGGGTAGACGCGGGACTCCGTATCATAGCAAGGAAACTAGACACTTTTTCGGAGATCGCAGCTTACCAGAGAAACAGTGAGGAGAGAAGACTGTGCAAGAGAGTGGAGGAGGCAGAAAGAAACATGAGTGGGCACCCGATATCAGAGATGGTGTGGGCAGAGGAGAGGGAAGCGAGGCTGAAGGAATGGGAGCATTTTCAAGTGGCCAAAGAAAAGAGGTGGAAACAAATATTGGAAGTGAAGGGCATCCTGACCTCACACAGAGTCACGAAACAAGCTTTCCAGAAGTTACTTCCACAGAGGCAGCAGGTCACAATGACTGAGCTTCAACACCCCCTACTGCCAGACATGCCAAGAGCAACCAAGTTAGCTGACATGAGCGAGTATGCAATGACGTACTTCCAGGACATCCTAACAACCAGAAGAGAAGGAGAGACAATGGACACAGATTTGTCCATTTACACGGACCTTTGGTCCAACCTGCAAGCAACTGTACCAGCATTCCACAGACAGCAACTCGATAGGCCTGTGACATCTGAAGAACTGCAGCAGACGGTGAAAACGATGGCGAAGGGAAAGGCACCGGGAGACGACGGCCTCCCCATTGAGTTTTACTCCGTCTGCTGGCCCATCTTCGAAGCTGACATTGTGCAGATGTACAACGAGATCTTGATTGGAGGTAAGCTGGGAGAAACCATGACAAGAGGAATCATAACTATGATGTTAAAAAAGGGGGATAAGTCGCTAGTCAAGAACTGGCGACCTATCTCTCTGCTGAACGTCAGCTATAAGATATTAGCGAAGACGCTTGCTCGTAGGCAAGGAACAAGGAGCCTTCGTAAGGGGTAGATCGATTTTTGAGAACATTGTAACAGCTATGCAAGTGCTGGAGGAGGTGGAAGCGGAGGACAGGGAGGTAGCACTGCTGTTGTTAGATCTTGAAAAAGCTTATGATAGAGTTAACTGGGCTTTTGTTATGACTACGTTGAAGCGAATGGGGTTTGGAAGTAATTTCTGTAGATGGGTTAAGATTCTGTACGCTTATTCAACCGCGGCGGTCATGGTAAATGGAAAGTGTTCAGACGAATTTCCGCTCTCCCGTTCACTGAGACAAGGCTGTCCTATAGCCCCCCTGCTGTTCGTGCTCCAAATGGAAGTCTTGGTAAACAACATCAGAACTAATACAGCGATAAGGGGGCTGAAGATCTCTGCAGAAAGGGAGTGCCGAGTGAAAGCACTTGCCGATGACTTGTTTGCGGTAACAGCAAACAAGAGAGACTCGCTGGAGGCCCTCAAAAGATGTCTGGCTATTTATGCCGAGTTCTCAGAAGCCGCGGTGAACTGGGATAAATCAACCTATTTCCTTCCGAAGTCACAACAACTGCAGGTAAACTGGGGGATGAAGAGAGTGGAGGAAGGGAAGGCGGAACGGTTTTTAGGAGTGATGATAGCCCTGGAGGATAGTTCGTCATCACAGGGCCTGATTCTCCAGGAGAGAGTGTCGAAACGAGTTAGTGAATGGGGAAGTGCGAGTCATCTATCCTTAATTGGCAGAGCACTAGCCATAAACGTTTCTGCATTCGCTCTACTCTGGTTTGTTGCTAAAGTACGGAGCATCCCCAAAGAAACCTTGCAAGAAATCAAGAGAATAGCAAGAGTATTCTTGTGGAAACCGTACGCAAAACCAGGGGATGGTTGCATAGCAAAGGTTGAGTGGGACGTCCTCTGTCGACCAAGAGAGAAGGGTGGGCTAGGACTCACGGATCCCCAGACCCAGAACAAGGTACTTCTGTGTCAATGGATCCTGAGGGCAATCGATGCAGGACAGGAGGATGACTGGGTATTGCTCGCAGAATCGATCTTGAAGAGGGAGTGGGGACTGCAGCGCAGTCAGGATGTTTGGAGGGCACTAATGATGGAAGCTTTTGCAGGCAAAAGAATTAAGTCTAGGTTCTGGAAGGAAATTATGCAGGCATGGAGATCGATGAAACCAGACTTCAGAACTGCTCCAAGCTCCAAACAGCAGGTTCTCGAGCAGCACCTGTTCGATAACCCAGGCATAAGGAACTTGGAGGGGGACATCCTAACAGCGAAGAAAGGTGCTGGGAACTTTGGCTATAAGTGGGCACAGAGAGGTGCATCTACAGTTCGGGACATGTGGAATGAGGATACCAATCAGTGGAAGGGTGCAACGGAGCTAAAAGTCAAATTTGGCCAATTACCTGATCAGGAACAGAGAGCTGAGAGTGTCAAAGCCGCTATACCTCAAGACTGGAAACTCCTCCTGGGGCCCAGCGGTATAAACCCGCCAGGGACGTGGTTCCATGCAGAAACCCCAGAGAATCGTCGCTTCTACAGGCTAGAAGAATGGGATGAAGAGGTGAAAGGAAAGTGTGTGCTTGAAGTCTTCGAGAAAGAAAGCCGCGAGTCAGCAAAGCTGCTTTCTTTTGGGACAGTGGAAAGATATGGGCTCAGCGGACTGGCAGAGTGCAGAGTAGCCCTAAGTGAAGACAAGAAACAGAATCCGATGACAATAGGGGGAGGTAGAGATTATGGTGAGCTTAGGATTGACCCGGAGGCTTGGGGGTGGGTAGGTAACGGGGAGAACACGGTAGGTTTGGGGAAAATGGGGAAAAATACGAGTAGGGTAGTCCGGAAGGGAAAGATGTCCTTGGAAGAGAAACTGACAAGTAGATGGGAGAGAACCATTCACAACATTCCTCCGCCAAAAGAGGATGAGCTTAATAAACTGTGGAACCAACTGAAGATAATCCCATCTCAGAAACTTGCTTCCTTGCTATGGCTACAGTCTCATCTGGTGGTGCCCACAGCAATGTGGCTCAGGAATAGAGGAATGGACCTGCTCGATCCTAAGTGTGTCAGATGTGGATGGCTGTTCGAGGATGTAAAGCATATGTGGTGGGACTGTCCGAAATCGCAGAAATGGTGGAAGTGGTTGCTGTTCACCTGGAAGGAGATCACAGGGAGGAATAAGTTCACAGACGAAAGGTGGATTCTATCGGGTGCGGTGCCAGAAGATTACAAAAGCAAGGAGGGCTGGGGATATATGGCTCAGGTCACAAGAGCTATAATGCTATGGTTGATCTGGAAAGATAGGAATATGAAGAGATTTGATAACAAGGAGCTGGTTGACAAGCAGGCGTATCAGCTCTTTAAGCACCTCCTAGCAAATGAGATCAGAGCAGACTGGCACCGCTCCAGAAAAAAGAAGGTGAAAGGGAAAGGGGCGAACTGGTTTCTTAAGAAGTGGGCAATGGGTTCGTGCTTTGCAACAGTCACGCCAGAAGGTAAAATGGTTCTCACTCAGTGGCTTGGTCAGTAGAGGAAGGTTACAGGGGCTGTAGGCAACCGTAGAGTGATTTTAGCGTTTAGGCTACATTACCAGGTCCACTCAGTTAATGTTGTGAAATGGCCACGGTAGGCCCTCTAGGGGAGGTGGGTGGAGAGTGGCAAGTCACGCAGGAACAGAGGTTCCAACTGGCCGTATTTAGGCCGGTTTTCAGACCGCAGTTAGGTCTGTGTATGTAGGAAGAGGAGGAGTAGGTTTAGAATTAGGGGAAGGCAGGGGAATTGGAGAATGACAATTCTTTAGAGTATTAGAATATAAGAATTTTTGGTTTCTAAGGATAAGTGTGAGGATTGAGCCCTCAAGTAGGGGCCTTGCCATGATGTACATGTTCTGGGCTAAGGCCCCAGCAAGCCTAGTGCCCGCCCTAAGTGAAGGCGGGCCAGCAAATCGACAAGAGCCCTCTGTGCAACATTTCACGAAGTGGGGTTCATACAGTTGCAGCACGCCAGTTGGTTGGAGTGCACCGAGTCTCGGATTTCAGCAAATGCTGAAAGCCCAGGGCCTCTGAGTTGGTTAGGCCCTGGGCATCTGAACGTGAGG